GATCTCACTGGCAAAAGGACAGTGAAGACCTCTTCACAGCTGCAGTGACCTCAGATGATGGTAAATAGACATAATCTTCATCTTCAGAAACGCAAGGCGCTAAAGCCTAGCTTAATTTATAAAAACAAGAGTTGCTGCTGAGTGTTATACAAAGACATAAAGCAGAATTAGTGCTGGGGACAGTGTCAAACACGTGATTATAAAATCACAAAATTTATTTTATTCCATTGTTATTTATTTCAAAAATCACAGACATGTTCACTATCTCTCCAGCTGCTCCCGTCGATCACTTCTCTTAGGCCTTCCCTTCCTCATCCAACACTATTTTAACGCCGCGTGTGTATTTTCAACTGCATTGTGAGGTGAAATCAAAAGCCTGATATTTTCTTAAAATATTGAGAGCGAGGGCAGGAAAAGCAGATAGGAATTAGTGCTAATAATCTTAGGAAGGAAGATTTTTCCCAACCATCTAACTCCTTAACCATGCTCTGTTTAACAAACCATGGCTTTCTAGACTTCATCGTCTACTGTGCAAATAAGAATGCAAATACTCATACAGGTGTCGTAGACGGTTTTATTCTAAACAGGGGAAATCATGGCAGATATCTGCAATCTACGTAATACTACATACACAGGCTCTGAAAAATTCAACTTAAAATGCACTTTCATCAGTGTAGGAACCTATGCGAAGCCAACAGAAAATCAAGAGTGTTACAGACTATTGATAATTTCGTCCGTGCACAAACCTCCCCGTATGTAACCGAGCTCCTATGAAACTGCAGTAGCAGCTGCCACCACAGCTCAGAGACACACATTTCATTGCTAGATCTTCTCTGTAGCACGGAATTCAAAACACATTTTGAACCATAAAAAGAAAAGCAAACCCTGCTGTGCTGAGATGTCTTTAGCCAGGATTTAGCAGATACATTGGAGATGACTCGATTCCAGTGAAACTGTGTGTCAGTGCAGGGATGCAGAGCAAACAGAAGTCCTCTTTTACTGCCTCAAGGCAGTAATGGCTGCAGCGATGAGAATAAAGATCGGTCTGGAAGGATAAAACTGTTTGAGCAGTTCAGAAGCATTTTTCAGGAGCCTAAAACTCAGAAGCCAGGGAGCAAAAATTACTTTGTTTTTTAAGCAACCAAAGTGTGCTGAGCCTGGCTCGGGTTTTCAAAGAAATTTGTCAATTTTACACTTACTTTACAAAGTTGTCAATACTGAGTCAGCTCAGTACTGCAACCAAGGCACTAGGTATGGTTCTTCCCACTTCGATTAGCCACAGCATGTTCACTACTGTCGGCTGAGACACAGCTGGGCGTTCAGCCTACGAACGGTAAATCCCACGAGGAACCGCTGCCTAAGTTAGTTTAGTGCTGAACTAATTCATTGTAGGCGCTAAGTAACTAATGAAGTAACGCAATGATTTATATCACATTTAAAACCACAGCAAACCTAACACCCATGGTCATATCGGTCAGATCAGAGTATACACCGATTCAGTGATTCTGGATTTGGTACCTATTGGCATCCACAGTCATCGGGATAACTTGACTGTTTAGATGATGATACTCTACTTGCCCACCCACATGCCTTTATGTGAAACCCCACTGCACAAAGGCAAAGTCTGACATCCCAGTTAGAACCCAGCAGCTCACAGAAATGGGGTCTTACTGCTCATCCAACAAATAAATCCTACCTTCCGCTTGCCCCCTATTTCATTCACAGCTTCCTCCTTTCTGCGTTGTTTTCCAGCTTCTCCCCTTGAAATCCAAGCTCCTCCACCTCCCCTTCCACTTTGGGCCAGCACATTTCCTGCGGTGGGAACAGGACCATGTACTGAGACCGCACTAGAGCACACCGGCTCTGCAGCCCCCTCGACGTGAAGAAAACAGCCCCCCCAAAAGAGGGAGCCAACCGCTGGTGCTGCGCTAATGAAGGGCTGTGGCTGATATAATTGTAATGCTTAAATAAAAGCACAAAAGGTATGCAACCATGTGCCCAAGGGAACAGAGTTGCTTTATAGAAATAAAGGAAGGGAGGAGATGAAGAGGTGAGACAGTCTCTCATTACCAGACATGACTTCACCTATAGGCCTTCCTCTTGCCTCACAGCAATGACACTGGCTTTCTTTCACAGCAATTCATGCATTTCAAAGGGCCAAGAGCATAAAAGGAATCTAAAAATAGGTTAAAGCCTGAAACCAAAGAGCAGCTGTTTCATTAGCAACAAGAGAAGCAGAAGGGGAAAGAATTGCAGGACAGAGCTCCCTAAGTGTGCCAAACATACAAATGTATTTTATGCTATCTTACGGAAATCCTTCTGGTATCTGGACACATTTCAGATGTGCAGTAACCGATATAGCTAGGACCCACCGTGTGTGTGCTCTTCTCTCCTTATGCTGAGGAAGATTACTGGGAATCAGGGTCCCGGGACACAGACACATACCAGCACTCCGTATCAGACATGCTACAGGATCATCTTGCACTGGAAGCTTGCAGAAGCTCAGGTCACCTGTTGGGGAAAGATCCTGGTGGAAAAGAGACAGAGCCTACTGGGAGTTGCATCATTGCTGTGCTCTGACACGACAGCTGGACGCGCACTCTGAACTCAGGTTTATAAAGTTGCACAAGGTGGATTCTCTGCATCCTACACATCCTTGGACATCTGATAGATGTAGAGAAGAAATCCTTTCCATGCAGATCAATGTCACCCTTTATGCAAAGACTCTGCAATTAATCAAAATGCTGATCCCAACCTTGAAAGAGCCTGTGCAGGCCAAGTTCTTCAGCTATCTTGGAATGACGGCCTGAAAACAGAACACAAATGGTGAGCAGAACAAAGCGGGATTCAGTGTGCTCAGTCCAGCCAGGATTCACTGTGTTAGCTGGGAAGAGAGCAGGTGGAAACCCATCCTGTGTGTGCGTGAGTACACAGATATTCCAGTTTAGAGCAGGTATTGGATTCAATAAGACTGAGTTTAGGGATGACGGCTCTCAGAGCTCATGATTATACCATCAGTAGACAGCTGGTATGCACACACAGGCCAGGAATGAGATTAAAAAAAAATATCAAGCAGAGTTTTAGGCCACTGACAACTATATGATGTAAGAAGGGATGAAACAAGTTGAAGCTAAATCCTTCAGATTACAGAGCAAGGGAAGGAAGAGATGCACCAACATTCAGGCTACAAGCAAGGCTTGGAAATGAGAAGTTCAATCCTAGTTCTATTAGGCACCCGAATGTATCAAGAATGCCTCATTCCTCAGTCTCCGTATAACCCACCTCTAGGGCCAGCTCGCCCTGAGACCGTCATAATGGAAACCACCACTGGGTGAGCCTGCACTGTTCGGCCACCTGATTGTTTCGGTGATTTGTGAGGCAGGGTATGGGCAGCCAGCAGCCACCCATGGTTCATGGCCTGTGGTATCATCAAGGAGCTTGTGCGGTTCCCCACGTAGCCAGAGGCTCAGAGATGTGCTATGTATGAATTCTGCCCACATGGAAAACATCATGGTCCCATGTCAGCTTCAGAAAAATGATGCCCTTATTTGTATGAATAGGCAGAGAGCGCATGCTACGGTGTGTAAGACATATCAGTGTCTTACACATACAAGATGATGGTGTGTGAGACATACCAGTCTTTCATCGTCTTTGTACTTCATTCCTATGGATATGCTTTCCCGCCTACGCCTGGTCCCAGGCTGGTCCCTGCACATGGATCACCACTGGGGAATTCCTGCTGTTTTCATTGCCTTAGAAACGTTCGGCATGACCCAGCCTTCCCTCCTGCTGCCTCTTCCAGCCCACAGCAAGCTCTGCGTACGGTGCAGGAGGCAGAAGAGGGTGTGGACACGTGTGGGGGCGTGTTCTTGCAGGTCTCGCAGTGGCTGCACTATTGAGGTGTAGCTGATATTCCTGCCTCTATGCCAGAGAGCCTCTTTGCTTAGTTTCAGCAAAAGGTAAGGAAGATCAGCAGCCTCGGAGGAGCTAAAGAGAATTGACAGGTTTGGCTGTACCAGGAAGGGTCAAGACAGAGAGCCATAAGGAAAAGGAGGGCAGGGATAGGACGAGAGAGAGAGGGAGGAATTTGTCAACAGAAAAGCAGATGTTTGAGAGGGAAGACAACTAAAAATCCGTTTCTTTTTCCAACTGGATGGAGGTTGTACAGATGCAGACTGCGTTGCTCCTAGAATAGGACCAACAATACTTTTGACAGTACAAAATGACCACAGCCAGCTCAAGCGTTTGGCTGCCAAAGTCACACCTGAAGAGATGCTGCTATCTGGGAAAAGCAAAGCAAAAGACAGCTTTCTGCGCTGCGCCTCTCTCGCTGTTTGCCTCGGCTTTAGCCTTGGAAGATACCTGGTGCTTTAAAGACCCTGGCAGACAGGGGTAGAACTGATCCGAATAAATGAATTAAGAGGTCCACATCTGAGCTACTCAGATTAGACTTTCTTTAAAGTTAATGGACATTGTACAATTCATCATGCACTAAAATAGAGAGCTAAAATAGGACAGGCGAGTCATGCCTAAAAATACCTAATCACCTCCATTAACTAATAAGGGAAGCCTAGAGTGCCCAGTTCAGCTGCAGATGTATATACATCGCAGGTTTCTGAGGTGGTGAGAAGTCAATCCCACCCCAGGTTCCTCTCAGTCACTCTCAGTAGCAGGAACAAACCCTTCTTCTCCAACACTGCCTGCAGATCAGCAGGGACAAATACTTGTGCTATGCTTTGCTGCCTTTCTCTGGCTGCCTCCCTCCCCCAGACACTTGAGTGCAAAGCCCAGGAACGTGCCAGTCAAGGCTGAGATCCACAGCACAGCTCCTTTCTCTTTTAAGGTATGTTTGAGGTATATGCCACTCCTGGAGATCAGAGGTACTAAAAACCGAGGCTTTCAGCCCTGGCTCTGTATCCACCACACCGCAGAAGAGCTAAACGCCATGTGTCAGATGAGTGGGATAAATCCCTCCCCCTCCTGCCGCAGCGGGCAGCCGCCCTGCCGTTAATCAAGGATCAGCCCCGCAGTCAGCTCCTGGGGCTAACGCTTTAATGTGATCCGGCGAAGCAGGGGAGAGGAGCGGTAGCGAGAGAGACGGTTGCCTTGTGATTATCTTCAAGGTAGGCGGGGACGAAAAAAGAGGGTGCTGGTGTGTCAGGCCAGGAGGGTTTAAAGACAAAACTGCCTGGCCGTGGCCTGCAGGGATCATTATTGGCAGGAAAGTCACCTTTGGGGCTGAGAATCACATAGTGCTCTTGGAAAGAAAAGCTCTTATAACTGAGAAGAAAAGGCTTTCCCTCGCATGGCCTGACGGTATCAGTGGGCAGAGCTGCATGTATTTGAAAGCTTCATTTATCCGCGTTGTTAGTATCACCTCCAGAGAGGCTGCGGTGGGGGACAGAATTTGCTACGTGTGGCAGAGCTGCCAGGAAAGGATGGGAAAATGGTTTGGGCAGCACAGCCCAACCCAGAAACCATACCTGACTTCTGTGTCAATTCCAGAAATAACGGGGGTTTTTTTCCATCAAATCTTCTTCTCGCATCCCTCTAATATCACAGCATATTTCTCATGATCAGTGCTCCTCCATGACTACGCTTTCCTTCCCAGCACTCCTAGACAACTGGCTGTCAGGGAACATATACGGCTATTGACTGTTAGCCTGCCTTCCTGCCCACAGTTCCCTGCTCCCAGCCTGCGGACCATTCCTATCGCCTGAGATAACCCTTCGCAGAGCATCTCCCAGCATAGTGCTGAACTCACTGTAGTAAATCCTGATGCTGGCCAGCAGTCCTCTGCTAGCATGCGGGAACGAAGGAACTGCGGGCATGATCGCAGATATTTCCACTTTTAAGTACCTGTTTGTACATATACTTAATATAAAGAATTTAGTCAAAGCTACTTTGGAGTTATCAATAACTTACTGTTGCAAAAATGGATGCCTTTTGGGTGACTATCCCAATGAGGGCTGTGCAGATTCTTGGTAATTAGCCCTACAAATACCATGATTAAACTTTAAACTAATATAAAGAAAATGTGCAACCGAGCATGCTAATAATAGCACCATCAGTTTCTTATACTGAATGTCTCCATAAAGATATTCTTTATAATACCTTTGGCACAACTGGGACCTTGCATATTTAAATTTGATTTCACTTTCATACAACTCTAAGCATAACTGGAGATTTCTAATTAGTTACAATTATTCTTTTCAGAAATGTGTTCTATTTAGTATAATCTTGTATTCATCTAGCCAAATGCCATATATATTTATTATTATTATCTCCTACTGATAGCTTTTTAACTGAGACATTTTGACCGAGATAAATAACTACATGCCTCCCAACCACAACTCTCTGTGTGGCATCTGCTTTGGGTGGCAAAATAATTTACTAAGTGAAAAATAGCAGTTTATGGAGATAAGATAATTTTCGATTCTACTATTTTGAGATAAAAATGCCAGCTGATTATCTTCTAAATCTAACATTTCCACATCCCACCCCACCAAAAGCTGCTAATAAAGTGGCCTCAAGAGAACTTCTGTTCTCATTAATGAAACTTCCTCACCTAATTGCGTTTCCCTTCTCCTAGAAGACAGCAGACAAGTAGGCTACAGTTTTCTCTCCATGGCTACAACGCCTGTCTGGGTGGCATGCCCATGAGCACTCCTCATGCCACTCAGTGGGACATGCAGGTATTGTGAGGCCAGTAACATCCATGCCCAAGCAGCCCACCCTGGTACCAGTAAAAGAGGTATATTGGCCTGTGTCGGTGCAATGCTCGGCGAGGTGCTCCCAAACACAACCTGCACCCGCGTGCTACCTGTGCTCCTGAAGCCATGTGGTGCCAATTACAAGAGCAACTAGGCAAAAAATACCTCTAGTACCTGCACAATTATGCCTCGAGCTGAAAAAGCCCAGATGCAGTCTCTCGCAGAGTTCACTCAAGCAAGAGGCAGAGGTTGAATTACCAGCTAAAATGGAAATAGACAAAAAGTGCTAAATTTGAGAACAAAACACCGGAACTTATTTACTTCCCGAGAAATTAATGAGCTCATAGGTTGCAAAGCAACTTAAATAAACATCTTTCCCTTATAAAATCTGGGGAATTACAGCAAGAGGAATTGACTTTATGCTTGTCTTCCCTCTAGTTCACTAAAGGTACCAATCTGGTGAAATATAGAAGGGAAATGGCAAGACAAACCTGCATCAGAATGAAAACAACACTAAATGAAGGAGTTGGAGCAGGTCAGGGAGCAGCGCATAACTTTACATATTATGTAAGTTATTTTGTCATAGAAACGCTTACCAATTTTTTCGTGCTTTATATTCACAGATGTAGGACACAGTATGCCTTTGGAGGTGATTCTATCACACACGAGGCTTTGAAAAGATCCACCAGCAAGTTAAAAGTAATTGAATTTAGAAAAGCATTTGTACTTACCAAATATACTGCAGGGTCTCAATGCTTTCTAGGTCAATGCTGTATCCGACTTAGTTTGCAGTTTTCTCAACACCAAGCATTCAGAAATCCTAAATATAACGCCAACATCATGTTACTTAAATAAATAATGAAATCAATTTTATTTACTTGCAGATTTTTACGCATACAGGTTGTTTATTCTCCATGCTTCCCACATTTTTTTTCTGGACAGGAGCGTTAGAAATTTACTTGGGGGTAGGGGCGAAAGAAGCTGAAGTTTTAGGTTACTGTGTTTCAGCTGGGACATCAAGAAGCATACCAAGCCCTTCCCCCAGCATTTTTAGGTTAATGATACAACCACAGAAATTGACAATAATTTGAAAATTACCAATTAAATTGGGGTTTGTAGGCTTAGTCTCAGACTCAATCTCTTTTGTCAAGAAATATACTTGACAAAATTGGTTTAAACAATTCAGAAAGTTAAAATATTGAAATTTAGTGTCTACCGTGATACTTCTGGATGCACACACTTGAAAGACAACCCCCTGATGGTATGAAAATTATTTTGGTACCAGAAATTACTGGTTTATGGAATATAGCAGAATCCAGCCCACAATTTTTAATATGCCGATGTCAAATATAATAGATTAAACAAGAGGTTTCATGTTCGGCATATAAAGCTCTTTATTCTAGGTCACTGACAGTAACCCTCCGTCGTAAAGCAGTAATGAGCTTTATAGTTTCATTAAAATATTACTTCTCCTTTTGTGTATTAAGGATGATTCCTTATCCTTTTCTCTTTATCTGTTTGTATTTGGTGCAGCTATTTCATTATTGATGTAAAGAAGCAATTCAAAATTTAATGATTAATTTTCATTTAAATCTTTCTTGTCTAAATAATTGATGGGAAAGATGAGCGTAGGCATTTGGAGTCAGCGGTTGTTATTCCTTCTGCCTTTTCTTTTCTTTGTAGCAGTACTCTCTGTCCAGCCCCCTAGAGAACACACCTTTTCGGGGAGATGGCTTGAATTCCCCAGCCTTGTATCATTCCAGATGGGGAATTATCTGAATACAAATCTCTGCTCTGTCCTCCAAAATCTATACATTCATCCTGCCTCCCATATGGTTAAGTACCTGATTTTGCATAAAGTCCTCAATCTTCTGCATCATGAGGAGCCTGGAAAGCCACAGACAGCTGATCCTGCAGCTGGCCTGTTTGTCCAAATGCCTGTCTAAAAATGCTCAAATTTAGTAAACTAGGCAAAAGGCCAGGCAGCAAAATGCTATTGCCCCACAGCATAATCTGTGCTTGACACTCGGGATTGAGTCGTGCTCTGCTCCTTTGCAAGGATCTTCCTCTGCTGGGTTCGTGGACGTTGTTTCTGGAGATCCCAAACTACTATCATAGCACTGAAAACTAGTCCATCTTCGTCCAAACTCTTCCAACCCTGCTTTTCATTATTCAGTAATTCATATTTACATATGTGACCCAAGCCTGTAAGTAAATCTCTGATGGTCCCTTAAACCCCAAGGTAGAAACTATCTGGATCTACCAGGGCACCTCCTGGGAGAGGAACAGAGTCTCTTCCACCGTTTTAATACAGCTTGCATTATATGATTTTCACGGCAATTAATAAACTCATAGAATGACCTTCTTTCATAATGTTTAAGTTTAAAATTCCATTACAATCTGAAGAAAATACTCTGGACTAGAAAACAGGCTATTCTGAGGAAGATAAATTAGCGGCTTCCTCCTACTCTGCCCTGCTAACATTTTAACGTACAAGTATTTTCTTTAAAAGTTAACTAGAATTGTAAGTTGTAACAGGGAATAAATGTTATAAAGATAGAAATCTCTGCTGCCATTTACATGACAAGTTAAAAAAAGTAACCATCTTTTCATGCTTGGGGGCATTTTACCCTCAGAAGTTACTTTTTAGTCTGATTTAAATCCAATTAAGTCTGAACATCTAAAATGAAGAACAAGTCTTTGAATTTATGTATAACTGATTTAACTAATCACTGTCTTACTGCAGAGCTACTAAGCAAACAAACTATGAAAAATAAATGTGAAATTAGATCCAAATCACAGACAGCCTTGATTTTGGTTTTAAAATAAATAAATAATCATTCTGCACAAAGCACGGGCCTCTGTTTGCCACCAGCAAGTCAAAGCTGCAATTATTAGGTTTAAAAACTAATGGTGAAAAATGATTTTATAGTTCAAAAAAGGCACTGCATTTTTTTACCTTCACATTTAGGACAGAAAGCACTTGTGTTCCTTGACAAACCCTCCTCCAGACAGACTGGGGACACTGCAGCAACTGGGGAAGCCCTGCTGCTTCAACAGCTCTACCCCGATTTCGGCTGGCCATGCATTTAGCACTTGGCTTCTTCAATTTCTTACACCGTCTTTAACCAAGCGTGCTGAGACCTTGCTGGCCGGTTGCTCCCAGCCATGATGCCAGCCTGGGAGGTGTCCCGCCATCCATCGTACTCTCCTTACCTCCCCCGAAGGAGGGGACGGGCATCGGAGCCCGCTGGATACACAGCTCTGACATGATGGGCATCCACATGCCCCGTGGGCTCCCTGACCCACACACCAGTATCACCCAACACCCGAGCAAGACGTCTCATCGCTGAGCCCTCTCCTGAACAGGCTGCAAGCGCTGCAGAGGGGGTTCATTAGGAAGGGGACTTTGAAGGACAGGTAGGAAGCACTACCCTTTCATCTTTCTGTTGCTCTCTTAGTTTCTGTTCTTCCTCATTTGCCAGCACTGACACTGAATGCTAATCAGATCTGGCATTAGCCAGCCTCAGGCTGCCATTTCCAAGTAATTAGTCCAGGTATCCCACACTTTCCTCTGACTTCCTCATATATCAAGCAACTTTGGTAATCCATGGATATTTCAGAAGCACGTCTGAGACCTGGAAATCTCAGTTCCTGCCACATCTTATCTGTAAGTTGAAGAAAGAGTGCATTACTGTCATCACAACTGTAGCACGCTGCATGTTACAGAATATCATAATTGTATAACTACAGGATAGCGGAATAACTTTTAAAGCTCCCTGTCATAAAATACCTTCCATTAAAGTTGCTGTCTGCTTCGTATGTGGAAACCGCTATCTCATCAGTGAGATGACACTGGAATACTGCCAGACACCGTGTGGCTCAACGCCTGATAAAGCAGCTTTCTCACTGTGGATCGCAAGCTCCATAGCTGCAGGCTGAGCTCCTCCCAAACTGGTTAGTACAAATTAACGTGCGCATCCAGCTTCCTCGAAGGAATTTCGCTGACATTTTTCCTTCCCCTCTCACAGGCATGCTCCCATACATTGGAACTGGGCTCCTGGAGGTTGCATCTGGAAAAGCACTACGCAGAAGCAGCTCATTCCTGAAATACCTATCGGCTGCCTATCATAGTTCATATCCAGCTGCAAATGCTGCATGCAACAGCTCGGAACCCCTGCAGCTATTCAGCCCGGGCAGTAAGAGCGAAGATGGCAAGCCCAAAATGACAGCTCTTAACTCATTGCCTCATTCCTTTCCATGAAATAAATTTTCTTCTTCTCCTCTTTTGAACTATGTAACAGATTACAAAGCTTTCAGAGGGCAAAAAGTGGGAAATCTCACATGTGTGCCTTGGAGATATGTCTTAGGTGTACATACGGGGAAAGAAACTTACTCAGATTATTTCTTAAACCCCGGCACAATTCTGTGCATCCAGCTTGGTGCAGTGGCAACAGGCAGCAGGCAGCTTGTGCTGTGATTTGCCAGTGATTTTTCTCAAGGTTTAAGGGAAAGGATTACTCAGATAGAGGTCATCTTAATTTTTTTATGATACTTGTTTTGGTAATCCAAAGTTTACCACAGGTTAAAAAAAAAAAAAAACCTTCCAGAATTTTTAAGCCACTTGAAGATTCTCCCATTCAGTCCATAACATATAAATGTTCCAATTTCTCATCTTGTTTGCAATCCCTACCTAATAACCCTTGGCACATGAAGAGGATTAAGCAACAGGATGATTTTTACAAATCATATCATACTTGCCAAGCATTAACTGAATGCCATTAAAGGTCCAAGCATCTGAGTTGGAATTGCAGGTATTTCCCTTCCTCCGTAAACAGCACCGAGGAGCCCACAGGCAACAGCAGAAATGCAAGAGGCCGATATGCAAAGAAACCCCAGGTTAGTTCCCGAAGTTTGTCAGAGCTGGTTTTTAGTCCTGGACCTCTCCATCACAGGAATCAACCAGCCGTATGAAATTGGATTCCTAAATTGCCATGGTGCACTGTAAGCTGCTCCAGTATTGCCGTTTTACCTGGTATCTTTAGGTATATTATATTCCAGTTAGCCCAGGTGTCATGAGGGAACACATTTCTGTCCTCCTTTCCTTTAAGGTTGATATATCGGGAGATTTTTTTCTGGGTAATTTTTTCCCTTAAATATTGACAGCCAGGCAAATTGAAAGAAAAACGTACCATCGAGAGATTTGAACCATTTCCCCTCTGTTCTGGAAAAAGGTGAGTTAGTTAAAAGGTAATAAAAAGTGATGGATTTGTGGGAGATCAAAATTAGCTATGATATATTTTAAAGCACTTTTGATATATTTATTAAAAGTCAAGATGTGCTTCAAAAGAAATCCCAGTGCACTTTCAAAAAATTGCATGGCTTAAAAAGATGCACTTAAGAAATGAATCAACACTTTTTTTAAAAAATTGCATGGAAATTTATCAGTGTGGTACCAGTAGTAGAGAAGGTTTTGCTGCAGCATTCTAATTAGCACAACCAGATCTTCTATAAACTTGAGCACTCCAGATTTACAACAATAAGGAGAGATGGGTTTATGCACAAAGCATTTTTACAGTATTTATGATGGAACAGTTTTCCCCTCACCTGCCTATACTGCAGTCATTGTAGGAAAGGCAAAGAAAGGAAAATAGGATGGACATTGCTGATGGCAATGCACCTTACTGATGAGGTGGCATTCATTAGCTTCCCCCGCATAACTGGATTTAGGTATGTCACCATTTTAAATACAGCATAAGCAGTCAATTAAGTTCTATTTCCCACTTATAAGCCCATAAAGAGAATAAAGGGAGCCAATGGCGGGGGCGAGGAGGGGCAGGGGAGCGAGGCGGGG